AGCTTGAGGCTCCATCTCAAAAAAACACACAAAGGGCAGCACCTGTAGCTCAAAGGAGTAGGGCACTGGCCCCATATGCCAGAGGTGGCAGGTTCAAACCCAGGCCTGGCCAAAAAACGGTAAAAAAAAGAGGAACATCAACCTGCCTCAGCCTCCCAGAGTGCTAGGATTATAGGCGTGAGTTACCACGCACCAGCCTGAATTTTTTTTTTTGGAGATAGAGCCTAAAGCTGTTACCCTAGGTAGAGTGCTGTGGCATCACAGCTCACAGCAACCTCCAACTCCTGGGCTCAATCAATTCTCCTGCTTCTGCCTCCCAACTAGCTGGGACTACTCCACTCCCACTAGTTGGGGTGCCTGCCCCAACACCTGGCTATTTTTTGGTTGCAGCCATCATTGTTTGGCAGGCCCCGGTTGGATTTGAACCCGCCAGCTCAGGTGTATGTGGCTGGTGCTTTAGCTGCTTGAGCCACAGGCTCTGCCCCCTGATTTTTTAAAAAACTTTTTTGTTTGTTTGTTTTGAGACTGAGTCTCTGTCACCCTAGGTAGAGTGTTGCATCTTCATCTATAGCTCATAATAACCTCAAGCTCCTGGGTTCAAGCAATCCTCTTCCCTTAGCCTCCTAAGTAGCTGGGAGTACAGGTATGTGCCACCATGCCTGGCTAGTTCTATTTTTAGTAGAGACGGGTTTCTCTTGCTCAGGCTGGTCTTGAATCTTGAGCTCAAGCAATCCACCTGCCTTGGCCTCCCAGAGTTCTAGGATTACAGGCATTAGCCATGATGTCTGTCCTTAACTGAATTCTTACTGAGTTGAAGTGTGGGGATTTCTTTTGTTAGAAAAACTGAACAGGCTTGGCGCCTATAGCTCAGAAGCTAGGGTGCCAGTCACATACACTGGAGTTGGCAGGTTCAAATTCAGCTCGAGCCTGGCAGACAATGACAACTACGTCCATATAATAGCTGGGTCTTGTGGCGGGTGCCTGTAGTCCCAGTTACCTGAGGCTGAGGCAAGAGAATCACTTAAGCCGGAGAGTTGGAGGTTGCTGTGAGCTGCGACACCACCGATACTCTACTGAGGGTAACGACGTGAGACTCTGTCTCAAAAAAAAAAAAAAAAAAAAAGAAAAGAAAAACTGAACAGACTTGGTAAAAAGAGTTTTTAATGATGTTTTCATCTATCTACATATTAACCAGGCCCCATCCTGCCTAGCTTCTGAGATCAAATTGAAAATTGGGCACATCAGGGTGGTATGGCTATAGATTTTAATGATGTTTTCTGATTTATATCATAGAGTCGGAAAAGCTGAGTAAGATGAGTTCTCTCTTGGAACGGCTCCATGCCAAGTTTAACCAAAATAGACCGTGGAGTGAAACCATTAAGCTTGTGCGTCAAGTCATGGTGAGGATTGTGGTGAAGTGGGTAAAGTGTTGTGTTTAGATAATTATTTAATAAGCTAAGCTCCCTGTGTGGACTTACTTAAACTAGTTACAATAGTGTGTCTTCAACATTATTTATCACAAGAAACATGGTGGCTATAGACTTTAGTTGTCTACCACGGAGGAAGTATATTTACAATATTGTGTTATTTGTGAGTTATGGTATACTGAGGTGCTTCGAGCAAAGGTGCTAAGAAGTAACACCTATAAGAGGTACATTTGCTAGAGTGGTGTAATGAGAAATTTTTCATTTCTTATCAAGCTCCTTGATGTTAATGTAGTAGATAATGTGCATCTATCATCTATAGGTTGAGTATTCCCTATCCTTTTTTTTTTTCCCCAGACAGAGGCTCACTCTGTCACTTTGGGCAGAGTGTTGTGGTGTCATCCTTGCTCACAGCAACCTCAAACTCGGGCTCAAAAGATCCTCCTGCCTCTGCCTCCCTGGTAGCAGTGGCTATAGGTGCCCATCTCAGTGCCCAGCTAGTTATTCTATTTTTCTGATCTGGTTGTTGCTCAGACTAGTCTTGAGCTCCTAAGCCCAAGTGATCCACCCCACCTCATTCTCCTAGAGTGCTAGGATTCCAGGTGTGAGCCACAGTGCGCAGCTAGTATTCCTTATCCTAAATGCTTAGGACCTGAAGTGTTTCACATTTCTGATTATTTTTTAAATTTTGGAATATTTGCACATACATAATATTTTGGGGATGGGACCCAAGTCTAAACAAAGTATTCTATTAGGTTTCACATATATCATAGACACATAGCTTGAAGGTAGTTTCATACAATAATTTAAATAATTTTGTGTACGAAACAGTGTTGGAACTCTGTTTTGACTGTAGTCCATCAAATGAGGTTAAGTGTGAAATTTTCCACTGTGACATCATATAGGACAGGTATCCTCAAACTATGGCCCACGGGCCACATGCGTCCCACCTAGGACATTTATCAGCCCGCTGGGTGTTTTTGCTGCTGCTGCCTGTCCTGCTTAGCAGCTGAGTTGTCCCGGGGCCTGCAGGCTGGCCCTCCAACAATCTGAGGGACAGTGAACTGGCCCCCTGTTTAAAAAGTGTGAGGACCCCTGATATAGGAACTCAAAAAGCTTTGGATTTTGGATTTTTGGATTGCTCATTTGGAAAATGGTGGACGCTTGTACTAGTAGAGTTTGTGATTGATTCTTAATACAGGTGAATTCTGGGTTTTCACTCATTCTCTATCAACCTCTTTCTTGATAGTACTACTACTACCCAAATTATTCACCAGCATTGGAATCCCTTAGCAAGTTACATGGAACATGAGGGGTTGAAGAGTATGTGGTGGGCAGTCTCAAAGCTGCCGTTAAAAGTTCTGTATAATTCTAGTCGTAGTCAAATGAAATAGGAAAACTTTACTCTTATTTTAATTTAATTAATTTTTTTTTTTTTTTTGAGACAGAGCCTCAAGCTGTGCCCTAGGTAGAGTGCTGTGGTATCACAGCTCACAGCAACCTCCAATTCCTGGGCTTAAGCGATTTTCTTGCCTCAGTCTCCCAAGTAGCTGGGACTACAGGCGCCCGCCACAATACCTGGCTATTTTTTGGTTGCAATTGTTGTTTGGCAGGCCTGGGCAGGATTTGAACCCTCCAGCTCTGGTGCATGTGGCTGGCACCTTTAGCTGCTTGAGCTACAGGCGCTGAGCCTTAATTTTGTTATTTTGAGACAGAGTCTCACTCTGTTGCCCTAGGCAAGAGTAGTATGGCATCTTAGCTCACAGCAACCTCAAACTCCTGGGCTCAAGCAATCCTGTTGCTTCAGCCTCCCCAGCAGCTGGGACTACACATTCCTAGCACAACAGCCCGGCTAGTTTTTCTATTTTGAGTAGAGATGGGGTCTTGTTCTTATTCAGGCTGGCAACTCCTGAGCTCAGGGGATTGGCCCGCCTCGGCCTCCCAGAGTGTTAGGATTATAAGTGTGAGCCAGTACACCTGGCCCATTTTAGTAGTTTTATTAATGTTTTAAATGATGATAAAAGTATAGCACAACTAACAGAAGAACTGATTTTGTTGTCAAAAGACCTCTTATTTAGGATTGACTCTAGGACTTATTATGTGAATTTGGACAGATCATTTTTCTCTTGAGTCTCAGTTTGCTCATCTGGAAAATGGTGGCAGATAATCCTAGTTAATTTTCCACATAGTTTTGTCATAACAATCAAATGAGAAATGAGATAATGGATAGCAAAATGTCATGTTGCTAAAAAGCCTGTAACTGTAAATTATTCAAATGCATGTGTTTTGTTTTGTTTTGTTTTGTTTTTGGAGACAGAGTCTCAAGCTGTTGCTCTGGGTAGAGTGCCATGGTGTCATAGCTCACAGCAACCTCCAACTTGGGCTCAAGTGATCCTCTTGCCTCAGTTTTTCTATTTATAGTAGAGATGGGGTCTCACTCTTGCTCAGACTGACCTTGAACCTGTGAGTTCAAGCAATCCACCCACCTTGGTCTCCCAGAGCGCTAGGATTATAGGAGTGTGCATGTGTATCTCCTGACTCAGGTGTATATACAGTGAAGGTATTGAAAACATATATGCAATAAATGAATGGCAATTTTTCCAGTTTTGGAATCGAGAGATTGTTATTTTTATACTCCAGACAACTACATTCTAGTTTGATAAATGTTCTGTAAATGATACTGTCATTAGAGATACATCATGTATATCTATCATCAGGTAGCTGCACAGACCTGGTAGAGAGATTCAGGTAGCTGCTAAGACCCTCTCTTTTTTTTTTTTTTTTTTTGAGACAGAGCCTCAAGCTGTCCCCCTGGGTAGAGTGCCATGGCATCATGGCTCACAGCAACCTCCAACTCCTGGGCTCAAGCGAGTCTCCTACCTCTGCCTCCCAAGTAGCTGGGACCACAGGCACCCACCACAATGCCCAGCTATTTTTTCGTTGCAGCCATTGTTGTTGTTTGGTGGGCCTGGGCTGGATTCGAACCTGCCACCTTAGGTGTACGTGGCTGGCGCCTTAGCCACTTGAGCCACAGGCGCTAAGCCCTAAGACCCTTTCTTTTAGGTTACCAGCATCTTTGTTTGGTCACCATGGCTTTCCTTGTTTATTTATTAGTTCAGATTTAGATACTTAATTTTATTTGTTTATCAAGACTTTAATGAATTTTCAACATCTGACATACTTACCAAATCTCAGTAGATTAAGTAGTAAATCAGAATGCCAATTTATTAATCTACAACAAAGGGTTTATCTTTCTGGTTTCCAAAATACTGGTAGTCATTATCTAGAGCATTCCTTCTCTAGTCAGCATGCAAGGAAAGTCAGACTAGTAATAAATCATACATTTGTTGCATAAGAATGAAATTAAAGTAGAGAGAGAGATTTATGTAGGGTATAGAAAGGGCTGAAAAACTATCCTTGTACTAAGAAACTGCTATCATTTATGGAAACTGGAATGTTTTGCAGAGAGAAACTTCTTCTCTGCATAGGATTAGAAAAACTGTTAAATGTTTTGTTCTTTGGTAGTCCCTTTTCTAGACTGTATGTTCTCTTTTCATAGGGTGAAAATAGTTTCCCTAAAATTTGATTATATTTTTCAGGGCTCAAAGGAGTAGGGCACCAGCCCCATATGCGGGAGGTGGCAGGTTCAAACCCAGCCCCGGCCAAAAAATAAATAAATAAATAAAATAAACTTTAATCAAATTTGATTATATTTTTTCAGATTACATGCACCTTGTTAAACTTGAGAATTGTCAAATCTCCTGAGCTACTTGATTTGTCATTTAACTGTCTAAATGTTAATATATAGTCACTTCTACAAGAGGCAGAGCTCATCTATTACATTTTGATTCTTCCTAATATTTCCCTGAAGGTTATCTGATGTTAGGTCTGGGACCACCCTTTCCTAACCTCATTCATATGGATATGTATATATCCCATGTATATGATTTTTTTTTTTATGGATGGACATAATGATAGTTAAGATTCTGTAGGCTACATAGAATCTATAGACTATCTGAATATTACTACTAGGATAACGTGTATGCTTACCTGAAACACTATTAGCTTGGTTAATTTTTATCTCAAATGTTTTCCCACTTGATCTAGGAGAAGAGGGTTGTAATGAGTTCTGGAGGGCATCAGCATTTGGTCAGCTGTTTGGAGACATTGCAGAAGGCTCTCAAAGGTTTGTAAACATCTTGAAATATGCTGATTTCATAAAATTCCCAATTTAAGAAGGACTGTTTTATACTTACACTAGAAAAACTCTATACTAGACGTTGCTCTTGCTTTCATTTATGCAGTTGGAATGAGTTTTCCCCTGCACTTTTGAAACATTTAGTTTTGAAGGATCAAAATATTTTGGAGGTTGGGTGGTGCCTGTGGCTCAGTGAGTAGGGCACTGGCCCCATATACTGAGGGTGGCAGGTTCAAACCCGCCCCAGCCAAACTGCAACAAAAGAATAGCCGCTGACAGTATCAATGTACACAGCTATGATCTAATAAAAAATAAAAAAATAAAAAATAGCCAGGCAGTTGTGGTGGGTGCCTGTAGTCCCAGCTACTGAGGAGGCTGAGGCAAGAGAATTGCCTGAGCCCAGAAGTTGGAGGTTGCTGTGAGCTGTGTTGCCATAGCACTGTACCGAGGGTGACAAAATAAGACTCTGTCTCTAAAAAAAAAAGGTTGTTTATTTATTAAAAAAATATTTTGGATGCTGATAAAAGCTTAAATGTAATAAATAAAGGTTAAGTGTAAAGAAGCAGGAGAGGCTAGGCATGGTGGCTCATGCCTATAATCCTAGCACTTTCAGAGGACAATCTCTTGAGCCTAGAAGTTCACAGCTGCAATTAGTTGTGATCATTCGGCTGTATTGTAGCCTCAACACCAGAATAAGATCATGTCTTTTGGGTGGCGCCTGTGGCTCAAAGAGTAGGGTGGTGGCCCCATTTACCGGGGGTGGCTGGTTCAAGCCTGGCCCCAGCCAAAACTACAAAAAAAAAAAAAAAATCATGTCTCTTAAGGAAAAGAACATGTTCTCTTTTAATTAATTCTCAATAGGAAGATGGCTATTTCACAGCTGGGTGTTGTGGCGGGCACCTATAGCTCCAGCTACTTGAGAGGCTGAGGCAAGAGAGTTGCCTAAGCCCAAGAGCTGGAGGTTGCTGTGAGCTATGAGGCCAAGGCACTACCAAGGGTGACAAAGTGAGACTTTGTTTCTATAAAAAAAAAGGCTATTTCAACTCTATCCAAAAAGATTTTTTTTTTTTTGTAGAGACAGAGTCTCACTTTATCGCCCTCAGTAGACTGCTGTGACATCACACAGCTCACAGCAACCTCCAACTCCTGGGCTTAGGCTATTCTCTTGCCTCAGCTTCCTGAGTGGTTGGGACTACAGGTGCCCACTACGACACCCAGCTATTTTGTTTTTGTTAACAGTTTGAACCCACCACCCTCGATGTATGGGGCTGGTGCCCTACTCACTGAGCCATAGGTGCCGCCCAGGATCTTTCTGTCTTTAAAGAATACCTTTTAAAGTTATTAGGAGCATTCTTTGTGATTTCTTTCTTTCATCCTTTCATAGTAACGTCTTTACCAGCAATGACTGATCGTTTGGAGTCCATAGCAAGACAGAATGGGTAAGTAGTCTATCTGTAGACAGAAATGTTTAATTTAGTGATAACTTTGGGAGGCTTTATTTATGTGTCTTCTATTAATTTTTGTTTTGATTTGTTCCTGCTAGACTGGGCTCTCATCTCAGTGCCAGTGGCACTGAATGTTACATCACGTCAGATATGTTCTATGTGGAAGTGCAGTTAGATCCTGCAGGACAGCTTTGTGATGTAAAAGTGGCTCACCATGGGGAGAATCCTGTGGTATGTGTTGTTGATATTTCACTGGAATCTGTGGGGTTTACTTAGGGACATTAATTTTAAAATGAATTGTTGGGGTTTAAGTAGTTTGGGTTTAGGTTTTTTCATGAGCCACTATAGAGATGATGTGATGGGCTGCAACATTGACAGCTATAGAATGGAATTTAGAATAACATGGGTCCCATCTCTGACATCATCCAAGGGCATTTGACAAGTAGAAACATCAGATGAACACTTACCATTTCATATCAACAAACGTGAGCCGCAATTGAACAATAGGTGGTGGGGATACAGAAATAATAATGTATGGTTCCTATCCTCAAAGAGAGTATAATTAAGAAGGACAGATAATCTATTAATAAAAAACCCTGTAATAGAGATGAATGTAAAATGTGTGTAACCAAACAATTTGATGTGTATTCCAGAGATGGCATTAAGGACAGTTCCTGAAGTTTTAAACAAGTTATGGAAAGTTTACTCCTTTGTACTATTTCATGTTTTGATTTTAAATTTCCTACCCCAACCCCCTGGTTAACTAAGTAGGAAGAAGATGCCTTTCGATATTGTAATATAAGGACCTTCTTTAGTTTAATGTTCTTGTTAGAATGCATGTGCTATTAATAAAAAAAAAAACTTTTGATGTCTTCAAAGGTGTTAAAGTAGTTAAGTATTTAAACATAATTTCTTTGATTTCAGAGCTGTCCAGAGCTTGTACAGCAGTTAAGGTGAGCAAATAACATTTACTTATATTCCTTGATATTAACAAACAGTGCTGTTATTTACAGCTAGAATTTTCTTTTTTTTTTTTGAGACAGAATCTCAAGCTTTTGCCCTGGGTAGAATGCCATGAATCATAGCTCATAGCAACCTCCGACTTTTGGACTCAAGCGATCCTCTTGCCTCAATTATTTATTTTTAGTAGAGACGAGGTCTCGATTTTTGCTCAGGTTGGTTTTGAACTCATGAGCTCAAGCTATCCACCTGCCTCGGCCTCCCAGATTGCTAGGATTACAGGCGTGAGCCACCTCTCCCGGCCTTCCATGGCGTCTTAGCTCACAGCAACCTCAGACTCTTAGGCTCAAACTATTTATTCTCTTGCCTTGGCCTCCCAAGTAGCTGAGACTACAAGTGCCTGCCACAACATTCGGCTATTTTTTGGAGATGAGTCTTGCTCTTGCTCAGGCTGGTCTCAAACTTGTGGGCTCAAGCAGTCCACCCACCTTGGCCACCCAAGTTCTGGGATTATAGGCACGAGCCACCATGCCTAGCCCTAAAGCTAGATTTTGAGACTGGTCAGAAGTTACTTTGTTCAGGAGCAAATTTATTTTCTGGGGCCAAGAATTTTCAGATTCTGTGCTTGTTCACTTTTGGAATTCTCTTAGTATGATTTTTTTTACCCTACTCAATGTATCCCAGAGTTTCTTACCTTTGGTACTGAATAACAATTTTTTTCCTCCAAATTTCTAGTTTAATAAGGACTTGATTATTTTGAGGGAAAAAATTCTCTGATATCAGGCTGTTTGGATTGGAAAATTCCTTGCTATAGGGGGCTTCCTGTACTGCAGGATATTTAACAGCATTTCTGGCCTCTCTACACTGGCTGCCAGTGGTGTTCCATCATTTGTTAGAAACAGAAATATGTCAACGTTGTCAAAATACTTCTCAACCTCAGTGTCAGTAGTAGTTGAGATACTACCCATCTAGCCTTAGGAATTTTCTGTATGGAAAAAGAGAAATAGAACGTAATCGTTCTAGGCTCAGAGAAGACTTGAGAAAATTAAGTTATACCATGAAAATAACTTTCTCTCTTTTATTTTGAGAAAAATGGTTTCACATTGAAATGTTTGTATTAAACTATCACAGTAAAAGTGTTAGGCTTGGCTCGGTGCCTATAGCTCAACCAGCTAAGGCGCCAGCCACGTACACCTAAGGTGGCGGGTTCGAATCCCCAGCCCGGACCCGCCAAACAACAATGACGGCTGCAA